TAATGATTCTATGATTCTATGATCCCAAACAAGACTCAGTGAATGCTTTTTCCTCCCTACATCATCATCTGCTTTGTTTATGCCATGCTAGAAGCAACAGTTAATTCACACACTTCGAAAGTGCTAAATGTTGCAATCCAAATTACCTACTGGTGGGAACTGGGACAGCTACACAAGAGGAATTGAAACTGCTGCAGTTTATAACCAGATTATAGTTTCATCCTCGGCTGGTGTTAGTTTTCATCTCAGTGGCTAAGCTGAGTTGATTTTGTGCTGTGAATTTTATGCGCACCGGTGAGAAGGAGAGATGATCTGAAAGTTAAAAGTTTTCATCTAAACTGCTCAGTGGCTGTTGTCTTAGCATGGTGTTGAGTGAGTGAGTAATTTAAGCTTAGTGTCATCTCACCTAATCTTAAACACTTGATGAGAGAGAGATGCCTACATTAGGGTTTTTATCCCCTTCCCCAAGATCTAAATAGCCTCTAGACACAAAGCATTGTTTGTTGGTGGTTTTTTTAAATATCACTAATCCCTAAGAAAATACTTCTGATCCTGGATTTTGGATTGATCTCATCTGAGATGAAATCCTGTAGATTTTGGTGGGAAGTAAATTGTTTCTGTGACACAGCGGTTAAAAAAAACCCAAAGCCAGTCACAAATTTGCTTACACTAGGAACAGCCTTAGAAAGAGAGATTTATGAGCAGACTAACCAGTTCACTGGTGAAAGGTACATGTTGTGTGCCATGTATCATATGGTTCTGCCATCTATCACATGGATAGAAAACACCACCTCATCTCATACAAATGTGTTAGTCAGACAAGTAGACCTGGTAAATCATTGCCATTTATGGTAGAGTTGAATACCTTCTGGCCTGCCTGTGCCTCTCTGGCCAGCCTAGCTTCAAAGACTGCTTTTCCTGAGATGATGTCTGATCACCTACCACAATTGGTTGCCCAGAGAAGTAATTTATCATATTTTTTTAATGTATTTTTCTCTTTGTTTTGGCATTATGCATGTCATGGCTGCCATTTTTATTTCTGAAACAAGTAACATCATGATGCTAATGAAAGCACTTGTTATTTCCCACTACAGTATTTCCTAAGAGAACATCTACCGTACACAGCCTGAAAAGAATACATTTTTCAACTGTGAGAATGTTTCCTAGAGGTGACATTTCCCACATGCTCAGTGGCAAGTATTGCCTTAGCATTGAAAATCTTGTAGAAACAGTGAATCTCATGCTAAGCAGGTACTCGCTTATGAGAATACATGCTGTCACTCTAATGTTGAGAAGTCTTTGCTATATTAGGCATATTGTTATAAGTATAATGAAGGGGGCTCGTAATGGAGATGCCATCTTTTTATCAAATCCAGCTGATATTAAGGTCCTCATTCTGATGGTGCACTGTGTTTAAGTAAGCATCTGTTTACATAGATCTGTCAGCATTCCCATTATAAACCCATCTTTTCATGAAGGCATAATGTGGGCGCAAACCTTAAACAAAGCTGTAAGTTCTTTGTCTGTAAGTAATGGATCCACGCAATATGTGTGCTGTAGATAAGATTATATCATTGGAGAAATTTTATGTGGTTATGTAACTGAAAAATAATATGAGGTAACTGAGAAAGACATAGATTTAAGGATATATATGTGACTTAGACCCTGTCTTTTGAATGTTGTGCATCTTTAACATTCTTCATTTTAAATATGTGTGTTAAAGTGGCATGTGACAGTGTGCAATATGTATTTACAAATTGTATGTGTCTCTTCATAGTAAAGAGGAAGCAGTCTTTATATGTGTATGTGATACTGGGGCATGGGTATCTGAATGTATATATATGAATTGGGAGGAACAAAGAAAGTGAGAGAGGGAAAAGGGCTCTTAAACTAGGTAAAACTGTGCAGCACCCAGCAGGTTGGTCCTGATACTTTGTGCACGTCATGCCGTTAGCTTCAGTGAGACAGCTTGTGAGCTTACGGGTTTTGCTGGACCAAATCCAGAGTGCCTAGTGTGTCCAGCATTGCTTCCAGTAGGAGAGGAGTTTTCACGTGGATATTCACATGCTATTGCTTTCCAGTGCCTGTTGCCTCACCATTGCAGGATAGGCCCATCCTTAATGCAGACTGCTTGCCACATACACAGTGACAATATTACAGGCCAAATCACAGCTGGTCCTGTGCTGGTTGTCCTGCCTGAAGGAGCACACCTTAAGTAAGCTGTGTTTGCACAGCCTGCAGAGTATGGTTCCTAAGGCTGCCTAGCAGGCTTATGGTATGAGCGGGCAAGGACGGCAGAAGCAAGCTGATGGAGCTGCGTGTCTGATCCTGCAGAGTGATGCCCACATATTAGCCAGGGCTCTCAGACAGCCTGCGCTTGGGTTTCCCCCTGGCAGCCTGCCTGCACTCAAGTGGAGGGTGCTGGGGGCAGAGGCTGGGGGACAGTCAGAGCATGCCTCGGTCCTTCTGGGGACGGCTGTCTCCAAGGGTATGGACACAGCCTCTCTTCTCTTCTCTTGGGTCCCAACACTGCATACGGTACTGAGCATGAGTCGTGGGGAGTGCCAGGGAGAACCTTGCGGACTATCAGCATAGCTGCAGGCTCAGAAAAAGTCTAACAGGACAAAGACAAAATTCTGACCCTAAGAAATGCAGCGGAAAGAGCAAGGTTTCCCTTTCCCTGTAGCAGAAGGGATTCTCTGCTGGTTGCTGCTCTCCTTCACCTCCATCACCAACTTTGTGACTTGGTGAGTTTCACCATCAAAATACTGGGGCCTCTAAGAAGCTGTGTCCTCCTCTTCCCCCACCTAGGGCTCTGTAGTACACAAAGCCATAATTTAGCCCCAGATGTTATTTTGTAACTCGTAATTAAGTATTTATATCCTCTTAGCTTGCAACCCAAATGTAATCTGATAATCATTCAGTGACTGCCTGGTTAATAGCTGCTGTGCAATTATAAACTTCTAGCCTGGTCATTTGTACGTACAGCAGGATAATAAGGTACCCCTGAAATGTGCTTTGCTATTGTTTTAACCATTTACATTTCAATCATCTCCTTGATAATTCTGTTAAGGGCATATTAATGTCTCTTTTCAAGGAAGAAACAGGAAGATAACAGTATTCTTTTTAGTCATTGTTGTAAATATTGTGTTTAATTCAAATATTGTTTGAATGTGATTTGGAAAATAAAGTACAGGCTCAGCTGAATGATGATTTGTAAAGCAGAATGAATGAAACTCCAAGAATATGTACAAGAACTCCTGATTTCTATTCCACCAAAAGAGATCTTGATTGCAGTAGAAGTTTTGCCTGAGTAAAGATTTGTCAAGATTTGGACTCTCATCTCAGTAGGAGTTTTGCCTGAATAAAGATTTGTCAAGATTTGGACTCTCATCTTTCTAAAAGCAGTCTCTCTTGAGGGATGTTTTAAGATCTGTGCAGAACAATAGCACAGAAGAATGAGAGCCTGATCCAAAACTCATTGAAATCAAAGGAGGTATTTCCATTATTCAAAAGAAGATAATAGAGTGAGGTACAGGAAAATACCAGGAATTATTCCACCAGCCTTCACAGGAGAACATTCAGCTGTAAGTATTATTGCTGATGGTAACCATTATGCTTATAGTTCCAAGAGCAACATCTCTTCTTCTTAACACAGTATTAGAACAAGAGACACCTACATTTTCCACTTTTTTTCTTGAAGACAGTGAAACTATTACTTTAAATCATTCTGAACAGGACAAAAAGAAGAGATTTTTAAATCTAAATGAATGTCTATAATTCAATAATCTGTTGCATGAAACAGTTTTGAAGTGCACTGATTTTTAGCAAAACTTGTAAAATTCCTATAAAACGAATATTTTTCTTATTTACTGATAAATATGCAATCATATCTTCTTATATGATGCTTTTAAGAAATAAAATGTAAAAATGATACCTTTATTAATAACCTACATTTTAGAGCAATACAAACAGAACTCTATTTGACATGTTAAGACCATATATAATTTTCTTCTTCATTTCATTTTGTAGTACATTTTACAGCAGGTATGACTGATTTTTCCTTTTAAATGAATGCATTTTAAATAATCTAGCCAGATGTTTGGCTTTAAAATAATATAGTTCAGGGATGGAATTGATCAGCTGCATAGACATTTGGTCAGTTTTCCCCAGAGCTAAACTTTTATTCTCTTAAAGCTACATGTCTAAGTGACTCAGGATTGGATTGCTTTGAGATGCCCGTTTTGACTTTGAAGGGGCTTGGTTTCCAAGGGAGCCAAAAAAATACCTGTTCTCTGCCAATCTGCCATCCTTTGGATTTCTCAAACTAGGTATCCAGAAGCATAAATCCCATTAAAAGTGTTGGCTTAATTCTGGCACCTCTGCAGTTGAAAGAGTATTTTCATTGCAAAATTGAACTGGTGAAGATACATAAATCTCAAGAGATGGAATAATGATCAGTTAAAGATGTTACTTTTCCAGCTGTCTGTCCATACTGCAAACAGCAGTTACTATTCTCCAACAGAGGCAGCAGAAAGGGAATTGCTCAGTCCAGCGGAAAAGCTTAATCTGCTGCTGAGTCTTGTCTACCGGAGCTGTATGTCTACGAGTAGTTTGAAACACTGCTTCTAATAAGGAATGACATTATGCATCACGTTGGAGCATTAACTCTGATACTTGGCGATTATTAAACTTGTAATTGTTCACTGTTTCATTGCTAGTCTGGATGTTGAAAGTGTGTAATACAGATAACATGTACAATATGTAGCCCATAATGCGATGGTCTGTCTGCCTTATCAATTTACTTACAAATGCTTTCTTCTAATCTCTTGTCCAGTGACTTGCAGGAGCGAGGCTTGGGAAAACCCTGCTACTGTGTGTGTTCCACTTCCACTCTCCATTGCATCATGCTGCAAGTTCCCCACCTCCTCATTCTCTCTGATTTGCTAAAATAATTATAAAGAACTTATCTTTATGTCCACTCTTTCCTTACAGCTCCAGAAACAGCTATCTGAGCTGGACGAGGATGACTTATGCTATGAATTTCGTCGAGAACGTTTCACCGTCCATCGCACTCATTTGTATTTTCTACATTACGAATACGAGCCTGCTTCAGACAATACTGATGTAACGCTGGTGGCTCAGCTTTCAATGGACAGGTAGGGAAAATCTCTTGTTCATCGGGAAGCGTGAGACAGTAAATATTTTCTTACAGGGAAATCCAACTATATAATGCTTTGGGTAGAGAAAAAACTCACTTTCGTAGAAACTTGCATGTCATACTGTAAGACCTTTCTTGAACTAGGAGTAGCACATGTAGATATCACACATGCAGCCAGACTTCAGCTCTGCAGTGCGCGCACGAGTGTGGGTAGAGTTCATGAGAGGCTGAATACTGGAACTGCAGGGGTTGTTACTTGTCAGGATTGTCAGGCATTATTAGTTTATGGAGTTTTGCAGCAACTTAGGAAAAACAGATGATGTTTGTAATAGACTTAGGCAAGCAGTTACAGCTGACCAAGTTTTTACACACAGTATTTCCTCATTAGACAATGTTAGTTTTGCTTTCATTGGCATTTTCCTTGCAGAAAATTTCAGTTAGTGGTTTTTCTTATAGTGAAAATCAAAACTAAACGTTTTAGTTTCAAATTGGGAAGTTGAAAATAAAACTTTTTTTTTAACATGCTAGTGTGAAATGAAAAATCTCCTTTTTGAGAGGAGTCATTGCATTTTTATACAAATGTTGATTTTCAGAATAAGATTTCTAGTTTAATTCTTCTCAACTTTTGCTTCTGATATAAAGTGGAATTTAACTGGTATTTCATTTGGGGAAGAAAATCCATTTCATGACAAGTTCCACTTGCACCTTTCTGATTCCCAGCATTGCCATTAGTTGTCATTTTTCAGAAGCTCTGAAAGTACAGTCCGCATCAGCCAGCTTTGTGACATTCTGAATTGTCAGTCTCTTTTTTCCTCCTGCTTCTCAGTTCAAATCTAGTCCAAACTTTGTAGTTACTGCTATCAGAGTGGGTTACAAAACAGGTCAGAACTCCTTGAATATTAGCCAGAAACTGATATTTCATTTAGTGGAGCACATACAGAATACAACATGACCCATGAATACCACCACTGCTACACCAGTGGAAGGTCAGCAGTATTCCAGGAGAGTCAGAGGAATTCAGATCAACAAAACATTTACAGCCTGTTTTAAAAATAAACACGAACAAATGAGGGCTATTCTGATGCCTCAGCACTGCATCCTGCACATTGTGTTATGATTTGCTATGCACATCAGTGTCTGTTTTATTGATTTTTAATTGAGGAAACATTTCTTAAGTGTTCACAAACCTTTGAGTAAAAAACTAAAGAAATAAATTAAGCCAGACCCTGAGCGAGTGCCACAGTAAATTAGTAAAGCTGGTGTGTGCACATGGTGTATTTTCCCTCCAGAATTTAATTCAAAACAATGAGCTGGGGCTCAGTGCTGATTCACTGGCACTGATGCAAAGACTGAGCATCTGTTTCCCTTTCTGGATCCTCACTGGGGCACATGTTTTTATTGATAGACAGAACCACACATTTTTATTCAGGAAGAACAGCCCTCCTGATACTGTGCAGGAAGAATCTTCCCTACTTCGTTGGTGTGCTGCTATAAATTATTGATTTGAGTTGGAAATACTTTCTTTCAGCTAAAATCAATAAATAATATCGTACCAAAGAACTGTTTAGCTGCTTTGTTTTCTTTCACATCTTTCAGTTACTGCCTTAGTTTTTTGTATCTTCTTTAAACCACTTTTATTAAACTCCTCCAGCGTAGCTGTAGACATTTAAGAATGGTGTCTCAGACGTAAGATGACATGTACATAAACAATGTGCTATACACTACATTCCTGCATCGTTCTTTCAAATGATATCTGAGATGAGGAAAGGCAAAAAAGCAACTCCCAGCGTCTCCAATTATAGCCCTGTTGGAGTTGAGACTGACGTGACTATCATGACAGGCTTATGTTTGCCTGTGTATAGGCTTGGGGAACGGGAGAGAGGGATAGAGTTTAGGAGCTAACATTAATGTCTTTAGATAGAAGCTCTGAGACAGACTTCGTCCAGTGTTGTTTGTTATTGGTTAATTGTCACCTTTTAATACTGATGTGACATTTCTTGGGTAATGGCTTGGTTGCATCACTGCGGTTTTCATGCGTGTGTTTTGGTTAAGCAGCCTTTTTAAAGGCGTGGTATGTACCTGGGGTTCAGACATCAGAGTGGGAGTTACAGAAATGTGAGATCACAACGTGGACAAGGAAAGATAGGATAAGCATTACACTGATTGAAGTCTGGGTGAGAATGAGTTGTCAATTGGTTGAGTATTCTTAAGAAGAAAAGTGAGAACAAATAATCTCACAAAACTATTGAATTCCAGCAGAATTCTCTTGATTGAAACAGACCTTCAAAAAAATTTACAAACTAAATGATGACCTCGTTATTATGCAGTACAGGAGTATGTTTATTTTCTCTAGAGTCCTTAAGAGAACGCATTCCTCAAGACCTAACAAAATGAAAATAACTTGGTCATGTTGTGCTTAGAAACTCGTAATTCTAAGTTTTATGGTCAAAGGAGACTATTGTAACAGCCTACAGAGAGTAGATTACGGAGCATCACCCAGCAGTCCCTGTGTCAAACTCGTGGAAGTGGAGCCTGTCAATGAGAACGATGCAGCAAAATGGAGTATTCTAAAGGGCACTAAGCTGTCCAGCTCGAAATTTATACCAGCAAAACCCAGTTCCCACTTAACTATCGTGAAAAGCTTTGCAGGCATTATCAGGTATGCCATTTAAATAAGTTATGTATGCCATTTGTCCACTGCTTGGAGTTCTTGAAAGGCATTTTGCTGCATTTCTTCCTAGGCAAGTATTCCATTTTTAAAAGGTTGCCCTAAATCTGAGTGCTGATGAATAGGAGTCTCCTGATTCATAGGTTTCCACTATGTTGGAAAAAGGCAAAAAAAAAAAAAAGTATTTTTCTCTATTTATTATTCGTACAATCAAAAGCCTAAAGCCTTCACATACTTTTTAGATCTTTTTTATCGATTTGTGTTTCTAATTCGGCTGTATTTTTCAGGCTGATAATAACCTTTGTTTCAGTAATAGATAAAAAGAAAATAATGTACCAGGTGTAGACTAGTAAAGGTAATATCTCATACCTAAGAAAAAATTATTATATCGTCTTGGATGTCATCACAATCATTCAGGAATGCGGGAGAAAGCTATTAATGTTAAATCAGAATGTGTGTTTGCTGGTATGAGTATATCATTCCTTTCTGCTGCAAGCTTAGAGAGATAGTAGGAGGGGGAAATTATTTTCTCTGATTATGACGATGCAGAAAACTTTTCTTGTGTTCCGTATAAATATTAATAGAAAAAATCTAGTAATGCGGATTTGGAAGGGAAAGAAGATAATCGTGTTGCATAGTCTACTCTTCCTAATTTTTAATAGAATATCTGACTAGGCTGCATAGGTTCATTTCCCTCTGTATTAACTCAAGAGGCTTTATAATCAGTCCTTGCTGTATTTTTGGGTGGCATATCTTAATCTCTAGGCAATTCTCTATAAATTACCCAAAGTGCACTTACCCAAGTGATTTTGACCAGGCTGGGTTTGATTTACATTTGTGTATGAGATCTTTTGTTGTAATTTTCATCAATAGTATTGTAACTGCTGGACGTCTTAAAAAATATACATCGATACAACCTGTTTTAAAAATGATTTAATGAAATTTGAGATACTACTAAAACATATACAAATCAGTATTTTAAATTATGGTTTTGTCTGAAATGTTGTTTTGATATTCCACAGCAATGCCATGTCTCTCCCTCCTTCTCTGCTT